GGGAAAGAGGGGAAGGGGCAGTTGTGTGTGATTTTCAGGGGAAAGTTCATGTTATATATAAGAAAATCTGGTATTAACTGAAGCAAGAGGTGAACACATTGGATGGGAAGCAGAGAAAAATTATATAGGACTTATCCAAAAGATAAAAATGAGCTCCAACTAACCCCAGCTGCTTTAAACAGGTGCAATGCCAAGGGTAGAACCAAGGTCCCATGAAAGTCACTGGAAAATCTCACATTGACTTCAAGGGGGCAGGATTTCACCCCAAAGAGGGAGAGTTGTCTCTTTTAGGGTGGCCCCTGAAACTTGTGATTAGGAGTAGTGGGCTGAAATTAAGCACAGCACAAACATTTTTATTTATTTTATTTTATTGAAATATTCTGGTTTTATGTATGGTATTTACAAATTATTAATAACCAATAGAATCACCACCTCAGACCTTCTAACTCCTTTTTAGGGGATTGTCCTGTATTTGGAATGACTGCAACCAGTGAACTGATCCTTTTCTTCTGGGACATGGCCTGCTGGATAGAACAAGACCCTAAGTGTTTTCAAGACACATGTACCCCGCTTCCACTTGCTCCTTCTAGTAGAATTTTACTAATATTAGTGCAGAAGTGGGAAATTTCCTGATAAATGTTTATCTTGTAAGGCTTAGATTCCCTTCTGAGTTCAAGGCTTAGATTCCCTTCTGAGTTCAAGTAGGAGGCTACACTGTATGTTATTTCGGTTTAAACAACTATGATTTTTATGATTTTATGTAACTCTCTTTTTCTCTTTTTCCTTCCCTCCCTCCCCCCCCCCCCCCCCCCCCCCCCGAAATTATTATAATACTTTCTTGCTGACATAAATAGGTTTGTAATATGCTAACATAGGCATTACAGTATATCATCAGCTATCTGTGTCCCTTTGGAAGGCACTTGTTCAAAAGCAATTCAGATAGTTGAAGTCAAATACGTAAGACTAACTGTGACAGGTTCTGTGAGAAGTACAGCCATTTCTTTTTATTTACCTTTATCTCTGCAACATCTGCTTCCTTATGCCATAGTGTTCACTTATCAAGCTATTTCAGGTCCCAGCCTTCAACACGTCAATAGCTTTTAGGTTTTTTTTCTTCCGTTATACTTTTCTCTTGAGCTTTCTTGCCAGTTGGCTTACAGCTGTTAGTTACATGCATACAAGTGCCAGATCAACATGACAATTGCTAGATTACTATTTAGATAACTGAGGATGTATTGTATCATGATTTGATTGTACTTAGTTATGACATAATGAAGTAAAAGATATATATTGAATATATTTTAAAATGTTCCTATGTACTGGTATTATTAAAATGCACTGCTCTTTGTATTGATACAAATTAATATATTTTGTATTACTTTCCTGTAGGTTTTCAAAAGTGCCACAGATCCTGCTGCTGTAATGGAGATGCTGGAAAGTAAGTATAATTAAAAAATATATGTATTCAGTTTGCATGTGTGATGAGAGACAATGTAACTGCTCCAGATGGTCACAGATCAAATCAATCTGTCCATCTGTCTGTCTCTACCTCCATTCATCCAGCCTAGTTGCAAGGCTAGCTGCACATTTTTCCCATTCTGGACCTTTCAGGGTTCACCTCTGTGTAAGCAAGACCTCAGGCCTTTACCTCCTCTGGCGATTGCTTCTTGTGTGATTTTTCCCTTTCTTTGACTGGGACGTGGGCTGCAGAACCTCATGTACTAACCACATTTACCCAGCAGGTCTAACTGGTTTCAGTACCTGTAGTTCTTCCTTTAAGAGTCTGTGAATGGTGGTGCATGTATAGAACCAATGTTTTGGGGATCAAAGAATTTAGGAAAAAAGATTTTAAAATAACAGTCTATATGCATGGCTGTCTTATATGTCTTCCATCCCCTGGACTTGCCTAGATGGGCTTAAGTTCTTCAGACAGATGACTGTCTCCAGCAGGTAACTATCTTAGTTTCAACAGCTTTCCAACAACTACCTACCCTCTTGAAACAGCCAGTGTCCCTTTGTTTTTATCCTGTCAAGGCTTTTGTCCCTGTGAACCAAACCAGAGCTCTGCAAGATGTCGAGCCAATGGCTGGCCTGTCTTCCTATAACAATCCTTAGGTGCTAAACATGGAAAGCTTTATCATGAGCCATTGTTTCTTCCCCACTACTTTCCTTGCAACCTTCTGTTAAATTAAACCAATATATCCATGTAGTAAATATCACCATAGCCAGTCAAGAAACAACATTTGTAAACAGTCGGTCTTCGTGTTGTTACACAAAACCTTTGTTGTTGTTGTTGTGCTTTGGGAATATTGTGAATGCATTCAATCTTTTGAGCTCCCTTGACATTTATTTATTTTCTTCTAGGCAATGTAGTGAAATTTGGATTAACTCAACTAGTACCTCCAGGTAATGTGGAAGGAAATAAGCATTTTTTCAGAACAGTGGGTAATTAGTTGAAAGTAGGAATGCAGTGGATTTAACTTTGAACACCATCTCCCACTTTCTTTCCTTGTTCTATCTTATCCTCTGGGATGTTTTAGCTATCTGCCCCCACCTCAGCTCTGCATATACCTTTATTAAATTCATGCTGAGACTAATAGCTATTTTATGACTTACGACTCGTATCGTGTACATTTTGCATTTACCTTTTGTAAAGAGTTTTGTTTGATGCTCATCTTCCACTTGCTTGTTTTAGCCCCTCATCGGATGAGCTTTATTTTGTGACATCATCTGATTTCACAGATGTTTTTTGAGACAAAAGCAAGGAAACAGAAAATTGTATGAGGAAATTGTGGATGGAGTTTCTTGAAAAGGCTGAGATAGATAGGTAGATAGAACCTCAGCCTGTCATAAGCCAGAGGTAGCTGACATTATCTTCCACTATGACTATTTTCACGCATATTTCTGTTTTTGTAGTTGCCTGTTTGTATGTGCACATACAAATTGTCATCTGTTCGGGTTTACCTGTCACCTGATGGCAGCAGCCCCAGTATATATCATGTTAAGGAGAGATTGTTCAGTCATATCCTGGAAGAATGGGCATTAATCACCCTAGAACTTAGTAAATGCCTCTAAGGCCACTTAACAGTTATTATGTGATCATGCATACCTTTCTTAGTTTTAATTTCTCCAAAAACCATTCAGGGCACCTACTCCTTATTCAAGATTTTGTCTCTAGCCATTGACAGATGAAACCTTTATGCTGATAAAAGCTGTATTACGCTGGTATAAAAAAGTAGTAGGTAGATGATGCCAAAGTAATTTTATGTAATCTGATGAATACATCCCCTCAAAGAATCAGAGGAAAAATAGTATTGGAGTGAGTTATTCCATTTTAGGTTTAATTTGTCTGCATCCAACTTGAGGGAGTTACTTGCTAAAGACAAACAGGCTGTTGTTACTTGCTCCCCTGTCACCTAATGGCAAATCACAGTAGCAGTCGGTTACTAAGGCTGCGCACAGATATTCAGGGAGGTTAGATCGCATTAAAAATGCCTCCCTCCCAACCTAACTTAGTTTGCTCAGGTGTGGACCTTTCACTAGTTAGGTGGATCTATATGTAAACTGTCCATAAGTTTGCATATAGAAGTTCAGGACAGTTTTACTGGTCTAAAAATGGCTAACCTGATCTAAGTTAAGTGTACCTCCAAGGCAGTCTAACTTAGCTTGGGTCTGGTGAGACCAATCTAACTGAACGGGGGCTGGGTAGGAAGTGGAGGTGGCCCCGGGGCTCTGTGGGCTCGAGCTGTGTTGGGCGGGCAGGCAGGGGTGCCCAGCAGATCTGGCCCGGCCCGCGCAGCTCCGCAGGGATGGACTGCAGCCACCCTGTGCATGTGGGGATGCTGCCTGGCTGGAGCAGGACGCCAGGCTTGGGGGGCTTCCCTCTCTGGGATTGGCTGCCCTGTATGCTGGGCACAGTGCAGGCAGGGCAGAGCCATCCCCGGTGCAAGGGCCTGGCTGTGGGAGCCCCCTGGAGCCTAGGAACAGCCACCGTGGCTGCCCCAGCTTGCCCAGGACCTGGCCTTGCCCACCTGCAGCTCCTGGGGAACAGCCTGCAGCTGCAGCTCCCACTCGCAATGTACTCAGCATGTGCAGAGACCAAGCAGGGAGCTCCCTGAGCCTGGCATCCTGCCCCAGCCAGGCAGCTTCCCTTCGTGGGCAGGGTGGCTGCGCCCCATCCCTGCAGAGCTGCGCGTGCTGGCTAGGCCCCACCTCTGGTGCTGCTGGCTCCCCGCTACTGTGGCCTGAGTCTGCAGAGCCCTGGGGCAGCCCCCGCTTCCCGCCTGACCCCAGCTCACCTCCAGCTGCAGCCTTCCCAAGGGCCTGGCCAGGCCTGCCTGCCCGCAGTGACTCCCCCGGTGTCTGCTGCTCCTTGCTCCTCTCTCCCTCTCTTCCCCCTCTCATCACAACATGCTTAACAAGAAAAAAAATTCACAAATACAAAGGCAGTACATGATGTTTTATTTATTGTCATCAGGTTTTGAATTTTTAGAAAGCCTGGTATTTACTGTAAAAAAAGAAAAAAGAAAAAAAGCAACATTTATGATTATTAACTGTACTGAATATGCAGTCCATCCTGCCATGTACCCCTGCCTAAGTTTTGTTTTTCTGGCATGCCGGCACTCTGGCACCTTACAAGGTAGACATTGTGGTTTTTTCAGCACTCTGGCCAAAAAATGTTGCCTACCCCTGACTCAGACCCATCCCCAGCCCACCAAACCCACATCCTGCAAATTGCTGTGGGTTCTGGTTTTATTAGTGTTTGCTGATGCCGGGAAGTAAGGAAGTAAGTTGTGGTGGGGGAGCGGTGGGCAGGATGGGGTGTAGGTTCGACTGGGGGGTTGTTTGTCTGGAGGTGGGGAGGGTTAGGGGGAGAGAGTACTCCATTCCCCCAAGTCCCCCTGTAGACCCCACCTGATCCCCCCAAACCCTTCCGGACCCTAGCAATCCCTGCCCCACGTGGACCCAATCCCTGCCTATGAACTGCCCCTCCAATCTCCCTGTGGACCTCCTGATCCCCGCATAGCCTGCTTGCCCCCCTGATTCCCCCAACTGCCTCCTGCTAGCCCTCCCCATCTCAACTTATCTTAGATCAGGTATCTATTTTTAATGCAGTCTAACCTACCTCTAACTTTCCCCAAAGTCTGTGTGGAATACTTTGGGGTAACTGCATTTTGTCCATTTATGATCCTGGTGTAAATGCCATTGTCATACATAAGCAGGTATAAATTCCCTGGACATGTCCTGAGAAGTGTGTGTGTGCAGGGGCATGTGTTTCCCATGGGACAAATAGCAGTGGCACATATTTCTGCCACTGCTATTTGTCCCCAGGCACACCCGTGCATGTGCATTCTGGTGTGCAGCAAATTGACCCAGGTGGCATAGGGGAGGCTGGGGGCAGCACCTGGGGTTTTGGGGGCCTCCCAGGGCATCAGCGGAGTTGAGACGGTTGCTCAGAGCCTGGCTGGCAGCCAGACTATGGCTCTGGCTGGCTAGGCTCCATTTCTGGCAGTGAATGCTGCTGCCGTGTGCGCCACACTGCTTTTTTTAGCAGCAGTTTTTTTTGACACTGGGATCTCCCATTGTCGAACAAAACGACCATGCTGCAAAGTAGCAATGCAGTGAATGGGTGCACATGTGCTGCGTATGGTTTGCAGCACCTCAAACAGATGCTGCAAGCTGCACATACACACTCATCAGGATGTGCCCCCTGTGTTCATTTCAGATTTTAAACTTGAATTCTTCTGTTGTTATTGCTGTAGCTCTGCAAAAAAAATAAAATAAAAAAAAGCAATTAGAGTGTTTCTTACCATGAAAAAATGAAAAATTTAAAACTCTTCCTTCATTGACAAGATGACTGGAAGGAGTTTTGCTCATTTTTTTGACAAATCCCATTGTAACCCTTATTAGTGAAACTGAGAGTGCTAACTCCAATTTGTCTTTTTTACAGTTGAACCTGGGCCAGCACCAGTTCAGTTAAACTGGTTATAGAAATGCTTCTGTTTTATAGCATAGAGAAGGCCTGGGTAGGGGATCTGTCAGTGCCAGGTTGTGGCCACTCAGGTCCCAAACTGAGACCAGAGAAAGCTACTAAAATGAACCCAGCTATGAAAGATCAATGTAAAAAGGATTAAAGATCTTGTTATCTTTAGCACCCTTTATAGAAGTTTTCTTTCTTCAGATTATTGCTTTTAAGAGGAGAATCTGCAGATTACAGGCACTGATGGTCAATCCACAATAAACATCATATTTCATAAGGACAAACTAAATTGTGAATTCACCCAGAGTTTTTAAACAAAAAACAATTTAGGATTTTCAGTGCATGGTATGTGTCTTCCTACTTGCATTTTCCCTCAAACTTCATAGCTTTCCACAGAAAGTCAGATGGCTCATCATAGATGGTGAGACCTGTCAGAGGCTCAGTAGGCAGAATTAGACACTTGATTTTCATAACTACTTAGCACCCTTTAGTTCCCAAGGTGGTCATTCTAAAAGCTGAACATTTTGAAATGAAAAGCTGGCTACTTCATTTACATGCCTACTCAAGTGCTAAAGTTTTTTGGGGTTTTTTTTTTTTTAAATCTGTTCCTAATCCTTTTAATAAATCCAACAGTTAAGATTTCTCTACAAAGGCCACATGTAAAGTTCAGATTATTTTAGTTCATTGTGAGTGGGTTACAGTCTTTATAACTGAAAGTTGCAGATCCTGTCCAACCAGAGGAGTAGCTAGTTTTATGGTTTGTATTCAGAAAATGCTGTTAGGAGTAATTTATAGAGCCACAATCTGGAATTCATAGTTTTGTGAACAGATATTTTCTTGATACTTCAGCAAATTTAGATGCTGGTTTCAGGAAGGCAGTACCTCTACTATATTTTTAAGAAGTGTTGCTTTCCAGACCACCTTCTAGTTTGGTCATTCCAGCGTGAAAGAACACAATGAAATGAAGCCGCAAAAGGAGTTGCTCACCACAGTAACTTTTGTCTCTGAATATATTGCCTACCTAGAGCAATACTGACCTTCCTTTTTCTCCTCTGCTTCAGAGCTCAATGTCATGGGCTTCCGGCAGCAGAAAGAATTATAGCAGAGCTACTGATGTAGGTATTTATACTCCCAGTCAGTAAAATGTTGGACTCAGCAGTGCTTGGAGGGGCTCCATCGTTGTGTGGCCAAGTATGCAACTCCCACAGTGTGTCTCTATGGATGGAATACATTCAGACAATAAAAGTTACTTTGGGAAGTAGCCCCTTTTACTTCTCCTGACACTTTCTGGTGCCAGCTGTACTAAACAACCATAAGAATGTCAGTGTCACTTTTATAATCCTATTACAAACTTTTCTGTTTTTTTCATATATATAGACAATTAGGTTAGTAGAGTGTAGGGGTGCACTGATAGAGATTTTCGGGGCCAGTATCGATAGCCAATTTTTAAGGAGGTATATTGGCTGATACTGATCCAATTTCCAATACACAGCCTGGCAGCTTGAAGAGCAGTGTCTGGAAGGGGAGCAGGAAAGGAAGGGGTGTGGGGGATGCAGATCGAGGCCCCCATGGTGAGGGAGGGAGTGGGGCTGGGGCAGGGACTGGGCCAGGCACTGCCCAGCTGGGGGGGGAGAGGGGGGTATGCACCCCAGGAGGGCATGGGGGTGCATGTCCCCAGATCTACATGGGGTGGGGCAGGCTGCCACTGTGGGCTGAGGCTGGGGCTGCACAGGGCTTTTCCCGGGGGGGGCTGGGCTGGCACTGGGAGGAGGGCTATGGGGGGCCTGGAGCCACCCAAAAATTCACCATAGCCCCCCTAAACCCCTTTCCAGTGCTGCCTGCTCTGAGCGCAGCCCAGCCCAGCCCCTGCTGGGAAGAGCTCTGACCCCAGCCCCCAGCGGCACCCTGCCCTGCCCCATGCAGATCCAGGGGGCACACCCCCCATGCCCTCCCAGGGTGTGCGCAGCAGTGGGAGCCGCCCCTATCTTCCTGCACCGCCCGGATGAGCCGCAGCTCCATCCTGCATCCCACCCTGCTCTGGCTGAACAGCACCTGCCTCAGCCGGAGCCCCAGCCCCACTCCCTCCCTCACCATGGGGGCCTTGATCTGCCCTTCGCCATGCCCCTTTTCTTCCCCATCCCCCTCCCCTTCCACCATGACAGACTTACCAGCTGCATGCAGCTCTCCATGCTTTTGGGCTGTGCTCCTCACCACCTACATGCTGCGCTGTGGCTGCGCACATGCACGGGGCATTTATCAGCCACATCAGACTGATTTTCAATAGTCAATTTTCTTTATATCTGTGCCGATACAATATTGGACCGATGTATTGGTGCACCTCCAGTAGAGTGATTTTCAACCAGGGTGCCATGAGATTCTTTTAAGTATGCCATGCAATGTTAGCACTTCTTGGTGTACAAACACCTAAACATTATTCACAAGACAAACCCAGAGATCTCAAATCCATAACATCAAAAACATTCTGACCTGTTGTGGTCTTTCTGAGTTTTTTGCAAGAGAAGTATTGCTCTATTATTTATTCATAGTCAAAAAATGAGTAAAAGCTAAGAGCTGGCATTTTTCAGGACGTTTCTTGAGTCTAACGAGGGGTGTGTTCAGTCTAATGAGGGGTGCCTTGGGACTAAAAAGGTTGAGAACCACTGGATTAGTTGTTAGTACAGTAATTTGAAAAAGTGCATTTATATTATGAATTCTGGTCTCTCTAAGGTCATTGACAGGATTCCTGTCTTAAGTCAATAGAATTGGGATTTGGTCCTGTATGCTGAGACACAGATATTGTACATATTATATAAAGGTCATACTCTGTGAAGGCCCATTTTGAATGTTGGGAGGTGCTGCATGGATTTGTTCTCTTGATAGCGTCCATAATAGATGACACTCACCTCCAGCATGATTAGGTCCTAATATAGGAAGAGCAGGGATAGATTTTAGTTGCACAGCTTTGGAAATTCTCTGCAGTACAGTGTGATAATGTGCATTGTTGCAGTCATTTCCATCCCAAAATAGTTTGGGGTACTCGTGACAAACTGAGTGTTAAAGATGGCATCAAGCGCCAATGTTGCTATGCTAAGCCAAGTCATTCATTACAAATGAAAGCATAAATGGACTTGCTGCCTTCTACCTCCTTCATTTCACTTTCAAGATAGAAACATTAATCAGGAGTGGAGCAATAGAAATAAGGCTAACAAGTCATTTGATTTAAAAGCAGTGATTTTCTAAGTCCCTGATAGTGAAGTATGACCTTACTGGATGGAGCCTTTCTTACAAATTAAAAAACTGAGCACACAACAAAACATGAGTATTCACTGTTGATCAGTGTCTCTGTTGTTGCAGTTTTCTTTGTAGTGGCTATAAGGCATGTAAATAGAGAGTCTCCTATTTACATTTTGGTTCAGGGTCATATACAAAAAAAGGATGAAATGCCAGAGAATCCTGAAGCAGATCTGTAGGGGTACCGCTTCCTTTGACACTGCTGCTGGGACTGCTCTGTGTACTGCTGACAGTCTTCCCTAATGTAGAAGAAGGGCAGCATTTCTCAGATCTCAGAGGGTCCCCTAATGAGTGCTGATGGGCTTACAGAGGCCTTGTCACAGACTAAATAGAAGGAAAATCAATCCTGGAAACCGTTTTTGCTTTTCCCCACTTTTTCCAGTAGGGGACGATCTTGCTTTTTATGAAGAGAGTACTCGAGATTTTCTCTTCCCCGTGCCCAAGCTGATGCCTGCGTATCCTGGTGTGGACAGAGAGGTATTGATGAAAACAGCTCCTGGTTTTCCAGTAAGTTGCCTCCAAATGGCATTTGCCATGTGTAGCTGAAAAGGAGAAAGAAGGAGAGATGTGGTCCATTGGGCAGGTGGTAGCTTTGTGAGGATTTCAGTCTGAGACATGAATTTGAACCACTCTTGAACACAGATATGCTCAAGTGATTGCATAGTCATTACAGGGTCTTGGAAAAAAGTTTTAAATATCTATCAGTTGGAGACCAATTAGAGCGGGGACTGGGAGTCCAGAAGCAAAGCCCAAGATTTCCTTTCTTGTCAGTTGCTGTGAAGAGGCAGAATGCTGGTTAGCACCCAGTGCAACCCATTGACTGTAATTGGGGACACCTGCTTTATTATCCATTTCCTTCCCTCAGGCATGCCCTTAGTTTACACATCATCCTTTTTGGGAGGGTCTTTTCTCCTGGTAAATTTCTCAGCATCTGTCTCTTCTGCTGCTCTTCAGCACCAACAGCAGAAAACAACCGACAACATTCTCATCAGTTTTGCTAACTGCATTATGCAATGGAAGCAATAAAACTGATCAGAGTTTTTATTAATTTAATAATTTAATTCTGGTACTGCTTGGCATAGCTCTGAGTACCAGCAGACTTGCTGAAACAGCCTCCCTGTGGACTCAAGACTTCATTGGTTCATGTTCAGAAAGTTATCTTCATTCCCATAAGGTGCAGAACGGTAGTTGGTTTTAAATGAAAATTTAAATGCTACATAAATTGATGGCTTGAGCTTACACCAGGCTAGACTTTTTATTCCTATTGGGAAGTTCTGCATAACATAGAGATACTTTCATGGCTCCATGTACAACTCAGCCATGAGCCCGACTAACTATCTGTGTATAATATATGTTCTGATAAACTAAAGGTTATACTTATGTTTTACTTTTAACTCAGTCCTTAACTTACAGTTGAATTACTTTAAAAATACCTCACCCATTCACAGTTAATTCAGTGTTCTTTTATGAAAGATATTCTGAAACAGGATGCAAATGCCAGTCACAACTGTAGTCTTTTATTTAGCGTATTAGGTAGGTCAAGAGGAGATAAGTCTGGATTTCATCATGTGAAGTAGTTTGATGTACTGCAGAAAATTGAAATGCTTTTACTATTTTTTTCCACAGTAGTAGGAAAGGAATAATTTTGTACTATTAAAATGGTTAATGAGTTCTGTTAAGTCTTTGAATGGTTTTATTAACCTTAGTTTCCTGATGTTTCCTAGAATTAGGATTAAAGACCATGAATTAACATTGCACTGATTGAGAGCTAGAATTCCTGTTCATACTTCCTTCATGATATTCTGTTCTCTCTCTCTCTCATCATAATTGTTGGTGGAGAGAGACCAAAATGACTTCACCAGTGAAATTCAGCAAAACAAGGGCTAATTTTTCTTGCTTATTTCTGATTAAGTTGCTTGGTCACACACATCCTAGAATTTTTCACAGGGGAGAAGTGGTCAGATGATGGGATTGCCCTGAAATCCTGATAATTTAACTAATTCTTCCTTTAGAAAATTAACAGTAGCCACTGTCACAGAAGTTTCTTTTTTCCTGAGTATCTTCATTTTCTCAGTTACCAAGTTTACTGCTACTGATGTTGTTCCTCTACTTTTAAAGTATTTCCAGCTCACTTGCAGGACAAATGCTGGCACTTCATTTCCAAAGGAACATTTGAATCACAACGATTTGAGTGTTTAAAAATAGCATGTTGCCTTTCCTCATGCTGATATTTCAGTTTGGTCAACTACCAGTATTAGAATGCAGCATTAGATTTAGTTACCTGAAGTGAGGTTCCAGTAGCATTGGCAAAGGTTATTGCCGAAAAATAGCCACATGTGGATTGAAGCTGTCTTAATTGTGATAATTTTTATAATACTGTACTTTATTTTTGGTACCACATTGGTCTCTTTTATTGTCATTCTTAGTTTTATTCATTATTACAATCTCGGTGACATTTTAGGTTTACTTGACTGTTTTATTTGGTGTGTGTTGTGTCTGATTGCTTCTGCTAATTCAGTGTAATGGTTTTACAGTTTAGTTATCTTGTTTTTCCAGGCTTGCTCTCGAGCTCTTTATAATTCTCTGCAGAGTACATTGCATTAATTCTGTAATTTGACATTATTTACTGCAGTTGTCTAGATTCTCACTGTTGTGTATATGACATACTACTAACACAACACTCAGCTTCAGTGGCCTTCTCTTACTCTCATTTATATTTTAGACAAGATGGTTTGTTCAGTTACAAAATTGGATGAGTAAATCATTTGTGTCCTGGGAAAGCAGAAGTCAGATGTACTGTGGTTGGTCCCACCAATGATCTTCAAAATTTGGGTCAAATTGCTAATCCATGTAGTGTTCCTGGCTGGTCCTGGATTTCATCGGAAAGGCTTGATACATAATGTGGCTGTATTTTTATACAACACTATGACTTGATTTTTCTCATTTCATAGAGAAGCAAGACTGGGAAGGACCTCAGGAGATCATCTAGTTCACTAGTTATAACATATAGCATCTAGTGACTCAACCTGTATTGCAGGGCCTGGGTCCTTAGTCTATCCTTGCCTATCATTACTGCATTTCATGCATTGTCTCTTTTCAAGGCTTTGTATGAATAGATCGAATTGTTAATGTCTCTGAACAGAATATTTAGTCCTGGAGTAATACTGATCTTACACGTTTTTACACTGGTGTAAATCTACTGACTTCAGTACATTTAGATGAATGCAGAATCATGTCCACTGACCCATTTATAAGGTTTGGGGTTACTGATAAATCAGTACATGGGCAAACAAATGAATTACTTTTACTTATCAAGGCTCAGGAATTTATTGCACATCAGCTGCTCCACAGTAACTGTTTGTGTGCCTGCTCTTACCCTACTGTAAGAGGAAACTCTATTGCAGTGACATATCCCTGAATGAAAAAGTGGAAATTCACTGCAGTTGAATTTCCACTTATGATGGGGTAAGAACAGGCACAAACATTTCCTGTAGAGCAGCTGATGTGTAGTACATTCTTGAGCCTTTTTAACTTAATGTAGTTCATTTGCTTGTCCATTTCCTCAGATGACAAGAAAATGTGATCATATTATTAAGCTTAGATGTTCTTAAGGTTGCTGTTGAAGGAGTTCTCTGTCCTAGGCTCTGGCTTTCTAAGCACAGTCTCTATCACTGCTTTCATAACCAGGCTAGAGTTATTGAGCCACAGCTGCCACAATGTGTTATCAGGAATCAAACAGCCACATCTTGTGGATTCCATCAGGATGAATCAACAGAAGAAACCTGCCATTTGGTTACAGTTTGATTTTTTTAGCTGTTGTTTCTAACAAGGCAAGTTGTTGTCTAATGTATAGTGGAGCCCACTGACTTTTTTGCAGTGTGTCTAGTCAAACTAATGCATGCTTAATACAGATTAAAGGCACTCAAGCTATGTAAGGGCAATGTCGAAGTTGCCTATTTAATGCACTCAGATATGGAAGTGTATGAGTTCATGCAACCTTAACATACTACTTGGAAAAATGACTGCAGTGTTGGTTTTATGGAATTTCAGTTTATTGTCTCAAAATGAATTGTGGCCTTTATGTGCCTTTAAAAAAAATTACAAAGGTTTTTTTTGTGACTGTCAGTCCTGAAAACTTGTGTAGGGCAAAGGCATTCTAGTCACTTGTCACAAGGGAATTCTAGTCATGTCCCCTGGCTATGAAGCATTTTAACATGGCATTTCAATCTAAAAATAATTGCTCAAGTTATTGGTTTGATTCTCTCAGGTAAATTAAAATGAAACACTGTGGCTGCTGTCCTTATTCCTCGGGCAATTCCTCGGTGTCTGTCTCCTCTGCTGCTCTTCAGCACCAGCAGTAGAATACAACCTTACTGCCTGAGGAATTTCTTTGCATTCTGCTTTCTTTGTTTTAGATCAGTGTGAGAGGGTCTTTCATTTCTATTCTGTTTTCAGTGTGTCTGACTGTCCCTTGGCTTTTTGTCTTTTATCCTGCCTTTGATTTTCATTTAAATTTGAAAGCAACTCCCACCACCAGTCTTGAAACTGTGAATCGGATCTGTGAATGTGTAATAATGCTTTCCAAAACCAAGAAACAATCCAAATACTCCATGATACTAACATGCAATAATATTATGGAAAATGTTTAAGTGAGCATCTGGCAATCCAGATCTGATCTTAAAGCCTGACATAAAGCCCACTGAAGTAAATGGAAAGTAAACTCGATTTCAGAGGCTTTGAAACAGGCCCATTCAGAACAGGACAAATTGACTGCTACATTGATGCTGCCTGCTATCACTGTGGTTGTATTTGTGAATGTGTTCTTCCCAATTCCCATTCTAGTCACTACAGAATACCTGTTAGGGCTGGAAGGCTGCTGCATTTGAACCATTGACTTATTCTACATGAATTCTTGGAGTGTGCTTTCCTGCCTATTTGTCTGTGGGCTTGTTCAATTAGGTTTAATTCATGTGACAAACCACATAATGGTCTTGAGTAATAACTATTTCCATCAAGAGCAATATGTCCTGAAAAGCGGGTGGTCTGGTAGCTAGAAGCTTTGTTAAATGTGCTTGTACTCTGTCATTTGTTGTGGATTTCACTGGTATTTAAGTGTAATTTTAGAGGTAACCACTAACATAGGCCTTTCCTTTTCCTTCTCATTCAGTACCTGGGTTAAATGCTTTAATGGCTGCAAGTTGTACATTGCTATAATGGTCTGATTCTATTTTTATCATTAAGCTGCTGTGTAGAGAAAAAAGCACTGAAACTAGATGAAAGGTGATTGCTGTAGCCTAGTGAACCTGGTGTCTAAATGCTCAGCTTTAAGCAGGAAGCCAACAAAATCTGAAGGGTGTTTGCTCCTTCAGTTTTGACAGTGGGAAGGCATGCCTAAGAATCTTCAGCAGGCAATCCACAATATGAATATAAGAGGTCAGTGTGACGCTGTAGCCAGTAGGGCAAATAATGCTCTGGCATGCATCAATCGATGCATCTCCAGCAAAGCCAAGGAGGTGATTCTTCTGCTTTACTAAGCACTGGTGAGACCGCAGCTGGAGTACTGCGTCCAGTTCTGGGCACCACACTTTAACAAGGATGTGGTAAAACTTGCGAGAGTCCAGAGAAGAGTCACCTGTATAATCAGAGACTTGAACAGCAAGCCACATGAGGAAAGGCTGAGGGACCTGGGACTTTTCAGCCTAAAAAAGAGAAGACAGAGGGGGGACTTGCTAGCAGCTTACTGCTACATCAGGGGAATATATCAAGGACTGGACAGTCACCTTGCTGGGGCCACCTGACCCCAGTTGTCTTTCCTGCCTAGTGCAGGAGGTTAAACCTGATGATCTTCTGAGGTCCCTTCCAGCCTTACAATCTATGAATCTGTAACAGGACAGCATAGAACAGAGGCTGAGGCTCAGAGTAAAGTGTATATGAATGTGCCTTCTACACAAGGAGCACTCAAACTGTGCTATCATAATTATGTTGTTAATTTATTTGCTTGTTTTTGTTCTAGATCCAGATAAAGGCTTAGTAATTAAGGTAAGGGCCGTGATTGGCTGAATGGATTTTGGAAGACAAAGCATAACTCAGTCTTGAAACTGTCTTGATCTCAAGTTGAATGTCTCTATATATACCAATCAGTTGTTTAGAACTAAATTATCCTGTTGGGAAGACCGAATGTAATGAGAGAGAGGAGGAAACTCATTGTTCTTAGACTATTAAGCAGATGTAGCAAGCAGAAGGACTTGCTGATGCACATTTAGAAAGATATAACCAGGTCGTTGTACAGAGCTTTCCTGCTCACACTTGCCTGTGCACAGACTAGGACAGTTTGTTCCTGGTCAGATGTATGTTTCTTGGAGCTATAAGTCTACCTGTATTGCTTATAGGTCCCTGCCTTTCACTTCCTACTCATTTCAGGTACCACTTCTGTGCTTTCTCTTTCCCCATTTAATTGCCCAAGAGTAGGAGCAGGTATAATTTATTCTTAATGTTTATGCAGTTACTGTCATGTGACTGTACAATTAGTGTTTTGAAGAAATAGGAATGACAATGACTAGAGATTTTGAAATTGAGTGCAAGTGAACAGATTGTATTTATTAATTACAGATGGTAATTGTCTTTCACAGTATTCATCATTGTTTCACCTGCCTCAAAAAGAAAACTGGCATTCTGCTGTCATGGTAGTTTGGAGGTATAGTTGGATCACCGTGGGCCCATTAGGAAGACTGGTGTTTAGTAAATACAGCCGTTAAACAGGAAAGAACTTAACTCTCCATCAAAGAAGTAAAGATAATTCTACTGAGGTTTCCTCTCTGCTCTTGAGAAGTAATTTGGCAAACAGGATACCTCTCTGAAATTATGCTGGTATCTCAGGTGTTTTTCCACACAGTTGGCCTTGTGCATCGTGTGAAGATTAGGCCCATAAAGAAGGACCATTATTTCCCTGCTCAGTATCATGTTACTAGCATATGCTGCATATTGGTGAATTTGGTTGCCACATTACCTTGCGAACTTGTACTTAATTTACTAGCTACCATTAACCTTCTGTCTCTTTTGCTTTTAGCGTTTCCTTTAGGCACTTTTGATTTCATTGCACTTTTGATTCTCAAGTAACCATGAAGAACCTTGATGAAGTGCCAGTGAATTAGAACCGCTGTTGCTCATTACGCTGCTTGATGAATGTCTGTAATGTGTCCACAGTGACACTATTTTTAGTGACTTCATCTCTCTTGTTTCTAAGGGAATTACACCAAAAATAGAGTTTTCTACAAGAACAACCATCACAGAGCTTCCACGTCAGTACAGGAAGCCAATTCGTGTAAGTATTTTAATATAAAGGACACAAACATGGCTCTGGCCCAGTGCTCCTGTCGCCATTTAATTTAGGTGTGTTATGAAGCAATAAAAATGGTTCCTGGTCCACAAATTACTCTGCTTACAAAGTCAAATCTTTTAATTCCTCCCTCAGTTAATCTACTGTCACAAGTTGTCTCATTTACTCAGGGTGATTGCCCAGGAGTATATTGTTGATCTTTCTGGAGATCTGCCATTGCAAAGAAATGGATCTTGCATTGTCTTGTAAAAGAGGCAAGACTTGGACTAATTGTGATCTCTGGCTTGGAGAAGTTTCATGGCCCATAGGTGTTCACCGAGTCTTCCTGTGAGTGCTTTACCTTGCCTGCCATTGGTTGCACACTATTTCCTTGCTTCCTGCAGCCTAGCAGTGCAGCCTCAGTTTTATTTGAATTGAGCTTTAATACGTTCTCTCTTATCCAAGAGACCATCTCTCATGACATGTCATATTCACCTGTGTGGTTAGGCATAATGAAGACATCATCTTTTGGGATTCAGATTCTGCAGTCCTTCCTGTGTAAACATTCACTCTAGTCAGAGGGATTTTTGTTTAAGTTAGAAAGCAGCCTTTGACATACACAGAGTTGTGTTTCCTTAGGACTATGTCCTAAACTATATTACAGTTTTTCGCAAGCAAAGTCCTAGTCAGTCCAGGACCTTAGGATCTCAGCTATACTCCTCAGTCCTCCTGAATGCTGTTTTTAGAGATGTATATGCTCTTAGCTACTGTTAAAATTCAGAAGCAGTTAAGGAAGATGAGCACCCCTCAGCATCTTGCAGGAGTGAGCCCTGAATGAGAGCCTATGGATCAAAGGTAAAACTGATATAAAAAGAAATGCATAAATTCCTACTCACTTCTTTCTGTTACTGGCTTATGGTCACTGTTAGAGAACCTGTGCCTAGTGTTAATTTGCAGCTAAATAGATCTAAATTCTATCTTCAGTGGCATCCATGTGGCTTCTGTTGACCTGCACTTCTATTCAGCCTACTGTCTTCTGGTTTGCAACCTGCTTCTTTTCTGATAATTTTGTAACACTTAATTTATCTAATAGGGCAGAAACAGAACAAGGATACAAAGATCTTCATCTGTGTCACCCACATGGAGGAGTATTTCATCTACACGATGTAAGACAACTAAGAAAAAGGATAAGATCTGTAAAAGACTGACACGATCATTAAGGTCTCACTCCCCTTCTCCAAATGCTACAAAGCTCTGCAGAGAAAACCAGCTGCAGCTATCTAGGCTAAGCCTGGGGTCTGCTGGATACAAGGCAGGAGCTGAAGTCAGGCCACCATTTGTAGTTAGACATGTAAGTCTTAACATTTCCATACCAAGCTAATATTTTTTTTGAGTGTGCTGATGGCAATATAAGTTACTCTCATTACCCTTTCTTATAATACTAAGATAAGAGAAGACCCAAACAAATTAAGCAATGGCAAATTTTGAAAGGTAAACAGGGATAATATCTCATACAAAAACTCATCGCCCTCAACAGGTCTTGTAACCAGCCAGGCTGCAGGATTCATAAAGAGATTAGACATTGATATTAATAAGAATAATTTCAAATTCCATTAAGATAGGATAAAAAATAGAAGAGATCACTTGTGGGTATAAGCTATCCACAGCCTGACTGGGGTTAGGAAGAAATTGTCCTCAGGAGTAGGTTACTCTACCATTTTTCATTATATAGGTTTTGTACCTTCCTCTGAAACCTCTCTGATTGGTTATGCTCAGACAAGATACTGGACTAATGGGCTGATGATGTGACAACAGTTAGCCATCCCTGTGTTTCCCCTTTATGGCTTGTAAAACCTAATCCAATGGCGACTGAATCCAATGAAAGGGCTTCCAAGAGATTTCCAAGAACTTTTCATGTGAAGTTCTCAAAGCATATCATAAGAATGTATCTAATTAGTTAAGTTACTAGTTACTATTAACTCGGTAATTAAATGGTTAGTACCATAGGGCACCTGTAGATGTGTGGGGACACTGCTCTGATGTGCTGTAATTACAGTGCATCGGAGCAGACTCGATTAATTGAGTCTCCTGGAACATGCTAATTGGCATGGTCCAGTAGCCTCCACATCTCATGTATTCAGCATCCCCTCACTTCAAAATGGTGGCAGGGGTACTTTGACTAAAGCTCGTTTGATGAGCTTTAGTTAAATCACCCCTGCCATCATTTTGAAGCATGGGATGCTGAATATACAAGATGCTGTGGGTGGTTTAGAGTGGCTCTCAGAGCTGCTTTAATTAAAGCGGCCCCCAACCTCTGGAGCATGTGTAAGGACGCCTATATTGTCCTCTGAGGGCTCTGTGTGTATAATACACACACATGCACACCTACATATGTATATGTATATCATACAGAAAAGAAGAAATGTTAAGGTTACTTATCAATAGTTATAAGATGATAAACACTGTAGAGAAGCCTGAATTAGAACTCAGTATTTCCTTCCCAGTTTTAATCCACTGATTTATCTATGTATAGTTTTCATCAGTTACTAGTCCTTATTTATTTTAAAACATTGTTATAAATCTTTAAACCTTGTTGCATTACATGAAGAGGGTTATAGTTTATTGATCTCACTGCATGAAGATATAAGCAAAATCTTTGGAAATTTTTGGAACTGTTTTAAATTCATTTTAAGGAAAACTAAAATGTCAAGTCTGACACCTAGTATCTCCTTTATGGCAGTATGGTCTACATGGCAGAATCATTGTTCTCAGTGACACATCTACCATATCTTTCGGCAACGATACAAATCCTATTGAAGATTTACTGTCAAATGATATGACACCTCATTGCTAGACATGTTAAAAAAGGAGGTGAACAAGCAGATGCATAGTTAGAGACAGATAATGCCCACACCTGGTGTTAAACTTCAATATAGTCAAGGAAAAACTAACAGAAAATATTGCTTGAGGTAGCTATCTAATCATCAGAGGGAAAATGGATGGAGACTTGGTCTTCATTGGCTACAGGAACAATCAGTTAGTTATGATGCTAATTTTTCGGGTTATCACTTATTGCTACTCATCAAGCAATCATTGTTCCTTAAACAGTAATTGGGAATCAAGGGGCTAATCTATTCATGAGGCTCTAAAATTCTTATCTGCTGTGAGAATTTATTAGTTAATCTCCAGTTCTTGTTCCTTTTAATAATGACTACTGATTAGGTGGTTAATATAATAACACAAAGTTTCTTTAGAATGAAGTTGCAATGATGTTAGATTAACTACAAGAATATCTTTAAGGGAAATACTTATTGTGACTCACAGAGAAGCATTACATGAGCAGGGATATATTTTATTGATTTCATTGCTCCCTTCATGAAACAATGTTTTAATTACAAAGTTCAAAGGGCTAGGCTGTGAGTAGTTTGGACACTGATTGAAGACAGGCACTTCTCTTCTCACCTTTAAGGCTTGATCTGTGCGAGATGAGTCTTTTCAGCGTTTTCTCAAAAGCTTTGTCAGACATGAGTGCTTTCTCTGCATCTTTAGAATTTCTTCTTAGGATGAAGAATTGCCTGAAAGCACTAAAGGTATTATTACATGTTACTATTTAGAATGTAGAAAGCTTTAATACTTGCTAAGATCATAGTACTACACTGGAGCCTCAAACTGGCTAATTTTCAGTCTTAGCTACAGAATTGCACTTGAGCCAGTTCAAGACTCTTGTGTGGTACAGGGACTGGCAGCCAGTTCCACAGGAGCCTTACCCTACAGGAGCCTTTTAAAGGTTTGGGTGCAGTAAGGAGGCTGGGAGCCTGACAGACAGCTTTTTGGGCTCCCCCCACTGCACCATAGTTTTACTGGTTAAAGGCTCTGGTGTGGTACAAAGGCTGGGAGCTTGACAAATAGTTTTGTTGGGCTCTCCCCCAGACACCGCAGTTCCCTGATAGTAGTATCTCTGGGCAGTAGTCCAACATTAGCTCAACATGTGTTAGATAATAGATTCTAGAGATACCTTCCACTAGAAAAAAACTAACTTTACTATGCTATGATGGCACTTAGCACACACTTCATTGCTTGAATGCTTGGATGCTAGCATTGTAAGTGCAGTTAGCACATGCCGAATGTAATGTGTGACAGTAGCTTTTGGTAGCATTCAGTCCATTACCTGAACTAGTGAACTAAGATTCATATTCCCCTTAAAACTCTTGAACTCACATTTTGTTCTTGTCCTGTCAGGCACAGGCATCTCTCATGACAGGATCTGGATTTCCTGGAATTTAACTGCTGTGTGATGACTTCTCACAGTATTTTTAACAGCAACTGTATTGCCTTTGGAATTAATGGGATCAATAGTGCTATGCAACAGGCATTAACACAAATGTCCCAGGATAGCTTCTCACTTAAAATCCTTATAAAGTCTTCACTTTTAGTCTTCAAGATGCACAAGGTGACTCTTATAGTTTCATAGTTTCATTGTAGCTAGGGTCAGGAGGGACCTGAACAGATCATCTAGCCTGATCCCCTGCTACAGGCAGGAATGAATGCTGGGTTCACAAGACCCCAGACAGGTGATCGTCCAACCTCCTCTTGAATTTGCCCAAGGTAGGGGCGAGGACCACTTCCCTGGGAAGTTGGTTCCAGATTTTGGCCACTCTAACTGTAAAATATTGCCTTCTGATCTCCAACCTAAACCTATTCTCCATCAGCTTATGACCATTGTTCCTTGTCACCCCAGGTGGTGCTGGGAAGAAAAGAGCTCTGCCTATTTGCTGTTGATGCTCCTTGATGAGCTTGTAGGCAGCCACCAGGTCCCCCCTCAGCCTCCTCTTGCTGAGGCTGAACAGGTTCAGGTCCTTCAGTCTCTCCTCGTAGGGCCTGTCCTGCTGCCCTCTCACCAAGCGGGTGGCCCTCCTCTGAACCCTCTCCAGGCTGGCCACATCCCTTTTGAAGGGCAGTATCACTTCTCTGGACCGTCTTGAGATGCACCTTTGGATGCATGACAAGGTATGGCTGGCCTTGCTGGCTGCGGTCTGGCATTGGCAGCTCATGTTCATCTTGGAGTCAATAATGACTCCGAGATCCCTTTCCGCCTCTGTGCTTTCAAGAAGGGAACTCCCCAGCCTGTATGTATGCTGTGGATTCGTCCTCCCAAGGTGCAGCACCCTGCATTTGTCTACGTTGAACCCCATCCTATTCTCATCTGCCCACTTTGGTAGTCTTGATCAGTGCTATCAAGATTCTGGATTTGAGTCTGCTCTACTGGTCTCTGTGTACCCAGAACATGATCCATTCAAGCTTTCAGGAACAAAGCATAAAGCGTTTTTACTTTTCAGACAGTCAGTGGAAAGACAATCATCATCCTTGCCTGGAGGAAGTAGTTTTTGGAACGTGGAATGTTTGTGTCCCTTATGTCTGCTTCTAGTACTGCATTAAGCAAGAGATCAAATAGTCCCTGTAGCAAGTTGGTAGGGTCTTCATTTGTGCACCTACACCATGCTAAGAACTCCAGGCTCCCTTTGTCTTTTGGCTCACAGCTTGGATAAATGTGGATTTTGTTTTCTGGGTGGAGAGCCTTCTCTGTCTCAACCTGATGATACCAAACAGTCATGTTGTTTCTTTTTCTTCCTTTTCTTCCATATTTATGCAGTATATTGATTTATAAAGACAGAAAGTAATGAGTCATTTCAGCAGTCCTCTAGTTTTTCATTAACATTTCTCTGAGCAACAGTTACAAACATGACTACTATTTTTTTAACATATGCAGCTGTAGCTAGAAGGAAAAGGTCTGATTTTAGAATTATTATTGCTGGAAACATTTGAATGTTAGTGCATAAGACTGAAAATAAAAACCCAGACCCAAACGTGAAGTACTAGACTATATTCCTAGACCTCATATTAAATTTTTGCTGCCACTTTTATCCAAAAGTTTTTCATGATTTAGAATGCCCTTGGTTTTTAATTAGATAGAAGAGACAAAGTGAAAAATATTTTAGATTATTTTTTAAAAGGTCTGTATTGTACAGTGTTTATTACTTTCCCTCTTTTATATATTTTGTTTTTGTGGGAGAGGGAGAGGCAGACTGACGGACAGAAAGAAAAAGAATAAAAGAAAGAGGGTTTATTTTCTTTTCTTTGGAGACTGCCAATATCATGTTCATGGTCAGACCTAGTTTTCATAGAATAAGAAATTCATTTTCATATTATTTTTTTCATTTCCAGGTAGACAGTATTAACCCATTTGGTGAAAAAAGTTCTCCAGAGTTACCTCATCGAAATGTGAAACAAAATATGAGACCATCAAGGGATTCTCTTGAATTTCAGTTGAAACAAGGTATTTAAAATTTGTTGTTAAGAATAAGATAATGCTAACAACAGGAATAATAACACAAATTATCCCAAGCAGTTCTACAGTTTTTGCAAACCACAGTCCAGCATCTGCCATTTCCATTTCAGAGGGACTGTGCACAGAGTAAAGCACTAGTCAGCATGAATGATGGTGGCAGAATCTGGGCCAATATATAGAAACTATTTGCTCACTATTGAATGGTGAGTATCTCTAGGTAGAAGAACGTGGCAACTCTTGTAGCACATATCAAAACTACACAATTGTTTAGCGGAGGAAGTGATTGCTTTTGTATTGTACAATACAATAATTCAAAGAAAAGTGGGTCTTTCAAGTGTTTCCTTTGTTGTTCACTGCACAGTATAATTTCCATTATTATGTGCTACTACTATCAAGAAATGTCTTCCCTGACAGCTTCTTCTGAATTTCTGTTGCCTTCAGTGGGGTTTGGATAGGCCCTGTGTTACCATGATGGTAGAATCAGTTTTCATACTCCATTTGTTCTTATCCTTGTCCTGTGATTAATATAATCATATATAATGATAATGATGATAATAATAATAATAATATAAAATTAATATTATGATAAGCATGTTGAAATGTAATGAAGCCATACAATGAAAGGGAAAACTTTCCCAAAGAGTCAATGATAATAGTGCTGTTCTGTTCTCAAGTGCCACCTTTTTATTCAGACAAGGTTCCTTGGGTGAATCTGATATCTTTTATTAGACCAACCCAAATAGTTGGAAAATAATTATTAAGCAACCTTTCAGGTTCAAAAACCCTTCGTCAGGCTAAGGAAGTTTCAGCAGTTGGTGTGTGCTCTTCCTAGATGGAATGAAAAATAAAGAAGCCAGAGGCTGGGCTGGTATGCATACAAGACAGGTAGTCAGTGAAAATGTAGATTGAGGAGTCAATGGGTGAGAGA